ACCTTTTTGTGACTACTGTACTGAAATGGCAAAGCATCGCTGATCAGTCATTTTCCAGGTTGAAGACTTTTCCCAATCTAGAACTGAGGAGAAACTTCCTGACAGTCAGAACAATTAACCAGTGGAACAACCTGCCTCCAGAAGTGGTGAATGCTCCAACACTGGAGGTTTTTAAGAAACTGGACAGCCATTTGTCTGAAATGGTGTAGAGTTTCCTGCCTGAGCAGGGGGTTGGACTAGAAGACCTTCAAGGTCCCTTCCATCTCTGTTATTCTGGTATGTTTCAAGGACTATGCACATACTTTAAAACTTAGACAGGACAATATTCATTCATTCTTTCCAACTGACCTAAACTTTATGAAGCCACCTTCCCCAATCAATGATCCTCCACATATATTGGCTTACAAATCATATAATTCTCACCTCAAACAATGTTAGCACATTTCTGTGGTCCCTTTTGGAATAGCAAAAAATAGACTATCTGCCCCTTGTCTCTCAAAACTCATCTCTCCTGATCAAACATTGACTTAATCCTTTCTCTGCCACCCCTAACTGCAATCACACTTAAATGCATATTACCAGTTGATAGTACTACAAGTGGAACAGGCAACCTACACCTACAAACATCAATAGGATAGAACAGTGTTTCTTAATCTTGAAGCTGTGTGGACTTCAACTCCCAGAATTCCCTAATCATTCTCCACCTCAGTGCTGGAGACCAGCAAACTCTGAAAACTTTGGCTTTTATAGAGGTAGTCACACTTGCTGATGATCATTTGATCAAGGGCACTTGATTACTGCATCCAGTTTTGGTCACCATAATGTAAAAAAGATGGTGAGACTCTAGAAAGAATGCACAGAGGAGCAACAAAGATGACTAGGGGACTGGAGGCTAAACATATAAGGAATGGTTGCTGGAATTGGGTATGTCTAGTTTAATGAAGAGAAGGACATGATAGCAGTGTTCCAATATCTCAGGGGCTGCCACAAAGAAGAGGGAGTCAAGCTATTCTCCAAAGTATCTGAAGGCAGGACAAGAACAATGGATGGAAACTAACCAAAGAGAGAAGCAACCTAGAACTAAGAAGAAATTTCCTGACAGTTAGAGCAATTAATCAGTGGAACAACCTGCCTCCAGAAGCGGTGAATGCTCCAACACTGAACGTTTTAAAGAAGAGACTGGACAATCATTTGTCTCAAATGGTATAAGGTTTCCTGCCTGAGCAGGGGGTTGGACTAGAAGACCTCAGAGGTCCCTGCCCACTCTGTCTATTCTATTCTATTCTATTCTATTCTATTCTATTCTATTCTATTCTATTCTATTCTATTCTATTCTATTCTATTCGCAGCACCTGGCTGTTGCTTAATCTGTTCATACCTATGCAAACAATGAAGGTGTACTTAGTTTTGCACACATGGCTTCTTCATTTTGGCTTTCTTTTTTTGTAAAATAAATGACATGGTATAATATGTCATGTGTTATCGTTCACCTGAGGTTGTATATATCTACTTTTAAGAACTGCTAAGGAAAATATGGTTTTTTTCTATGTCCTAATACGTAAAGCCATAGAACTCAGAGGGTATAAAAGTAATCCTTGACTTACAACAGTTTGTTTAATGACCAAAGTTACAATGGCACTGAAAAAAAGTGACATGACCACTTTCACATTTACGACTGTTGTAGCATCCCCATGGTCATGTGATCAAAATTCAGACGCTTGGCAACTGGCATGTATTTATGACGGTTGCAATGTCCCAGGGTCATGTGATCCCCTTTTGCAACCTTCTGACAAAGCAAAGTCAGGGGGGAAGCCGGATTCATTTAACAACCGTGTGACTAACTTAACAATTGCAGTGATTCACTTTGCAATGGTGAAGCAAGGTCGTAAAATGGGGCAAAATTCACTTCGCAAACGTTTCACTCAGCAACATAAATTTTGGGCTCAGTTGTGGTCGTAACCCGAGGACTACCCGTAAATGATGACACAGTGTACTATGTCATGTGTTGGTGTTCATCTGAGGTTGTATTTATCTACTTTTAAGGAAAAGATGGTTTTTACTATGTCCTGATATGTAAAACCATAGAATTCAAAGAGGGTGTACTTTCTTTTTCACATGACTGTATGTATACATGTCTGTACTCAGGTATATGTGTGATATGTGTACATGTCAGTATGTGCATATGGCTATGCATTTTTCTATATGTGCATTTGGGGTGCATTTGGCTGAGCGCCAAAGAACTGAGGCCTTTGAACTCTGGTGCTGGAGAAGACTCCTGCAAGTCCCCTGTACTGCAAGGCGATCAAACCGGTCAGTCCTAGAGGAAATCAACCCCGACTGCTCCTTAGAAGGCCAGATCCTGAAGGTGAAACTCAAGTACTTCAGCCACCTAATGAGAAGGAAGGACTCACTGGAGAAGAGCCTAATGCTGGGAAAGATTGAGGGCAACAAAAGAATGGGATGACAGAGAATGAGGTGGCTGGATGGAGTCACTGAAGCAGTAGGTGTGAGCTTAAAAGGACTCCAGAAGATGGTAGAGGACAGGAAGGCCTGGAGGAATGTTGTCCATGGGGTTGCGATGGGTCGGAAACGACTTCGCAACTAACAACAACAGGGGTGCATTATGCCTTCCCATGCCTGCATTGTAGCAACACTTGGGTTAAAATCTTTCCCCGTCTCCATTGTTGAATTAGTTCAATTTAATGTTTACTAGTACCAAACAATCTTCTTGTGACAATCATGTGGGTGGTGAGAAGGGGGGGGGGATAGAAGCTTTATCTTACATTAGGGATACCCAACCTATGGTCCGTGGCCCAGTCCCGGGCCATGGCTTGTTGGCCATCAGGCCCTGGGAATAGCTGGCGAGCCCCATCCAACTTGCGGTGGCACCGCCACACGGACCCTAGTGGCCCCATTTGCGCATGCGTACAGGTGCCAGTCCATGTGACATGGGTGTGCATGGCCCACTTGCGCATGCACGTGCATGCTAGCAGCACCGTCATGTGCGCATCTGTTTGTGAATGCACACACGACGCCACGCGCATGTACATTTCCCTGCTGCTCCCTTTCCTTCCAGGTTGCCAAGCTGGAAAGATTGGGGAACTCTGTCTTACATCATTTGGAAAGAAGGGGCTCAGAAAAATGCAATACAAGTGTCATATAAAGGTAGTCCTCGACTTACAACCGTTCATTTAGTGACCATTCAAAGTTACAATGGCCCTGAAAAAAGGGACTTATGACCATTTTTCACAGTTGCAACCTTTGCATCATCCCCATGATTATGTGATCAAAATTCAGACGCTTGGCAAATGGCTCGTATTTATGACCATTGCTGGGTTTCAAGGTCATGTGATCCCCTTTTACGACTTTCAGACAAGCAAAGTCCATGGGGAAACCAGATTCTCTTAACAACCGGGTTACTAACTTGTCATCTGCAGTGATTCACTTAACAACTGTGGCAAGAAAGGTTTTAAAATGGGGCAAAACTCACTTAACAAATATCTCACTTAACAACAGAAACTTTGGGCTCCATTGTGGCTGTACGTCAAGGACTATGTGCATATTCATCTTGTTCTAATAAAAGTAGTAATTCTATCTCAGATGTATAAACGTATTTTCTCTTTGAGCCCAAGGCAACCTATAGGGAAATATTTATTCATTTGCATCTTGCCTTTATTATTTTTACAAATAACTCAAGCAGCAAACATATCCAATACACTTTCTGCTTCTTATTAATCACCACAACCATTCCTGTGAGTTGGGCTGGGTTGAGAGAGAGCGTGAATGGCTCAAAGTCCCGCAGCCAGCTTTCATGGGTAAGGTAGGATTAGAACTCAAAGTCTCCTGGTGATAGGTCACAAAAGTCACCCACCAGCTTTCACAGCTAAGGCAGGACTTGAACTCACAGTTTCCTGCTGTCAAAGATGAAACTTTGGCAGCTATGTACCTCTGTGATTCAACTTGTCTTTAAATTAAAAGGGGGGAGGTGTTACTTTCAAGTGGGTTAGATGGAGAAACGAAACTTCTATGATTCAGCTGAAGACCATGAGAGCCTGAAGCCTCTTTAAGGACAGGTGTGGATTTGAAGCAGACAGTTCCCATAACTAAGTGAACTTGCTTATATGGACTACGTAAGACGTTGGGGGTTTGGCTGAGAAAACTATTGTTTAAGTCTATGAATTGGTGTTGGAACCTCAGAGTTAGTTTTGCGTTGACATAACCATGCAATGTATTCAATAAACAGTAAGATTTTCAGAGATGGAAACAACCTGGTGTTTCATTTGGCTTCTCAAGCTGGATGTTGACACCTGCTTTCTAGCCTGGTGCCTTAAACACTAGACCAAACTGACTCTATCCCTACATTTTATCCTCGCAAAATAACCCTGTGCGATAGCCAGAAGTTGGTTGAGTTTATTCATTCTATTTATTTATTTAATAAAAAAATTATACGGGTGCCCAACTCACTCATGGTGACTTGGAGCATCTTACAGAAATAAAATCCCAATACAAAGCCCAATAAACCCCCTGCCCCCTGGCGACCACAATCAAACAAATTACTGCAGGGATATGGACTTAACCTGGATCTCCCTAGACTTAGTCCAATACCTTCCCACTGGAAAAATCCTTGAAGTCTTAGAATCTTTTGCAACGGAATTATAAAATCTGATACAATTCTAAGTGCATTGATGCTGCCACGTAACTTGTTTTCTAAAGAGAGTAATGATGTTTTTGAACATTTATTCTGCTCGGATCCTAGAAAACTGGGTGAGAAATTTTAAGAAGCAACCCGAAGAAAAGCAGATATCCAAACAATCAATTCAGCCCAACGGGTGAAGATCTGAACGCATTCCATGCAAGCCGCTGTCAGTTTTCAGAAGTCCCCGAACTGAATCCAGCCAGTTCATCTTGAGCCAACTTCAAAAGATCTGGACCACAGTTGGCTTCCCCTTATAGTCACGGCATCCCACCATTTTCCCTCCCTACTCTTCAAATGTTCATACCTGGATGACACGCATGTTAAGGCCGGTCTCCTGTGCCAGCTGCTCACGGATGTGCCGGGTGGGTTTCGGAGTGGCAGCAAATGCTGCTTTGAGGGTCTCCAATTGCTTGGCTTTAATGGTGGTGCGGGGCCCTCTCCTTTTGGCCCCCAGGTTTTGGTCGTCGTTCTCATTGCTGCCCACTTCTTTGTCGGAGATATTGGCGCTTTCCAAATCCTTGCTGTCATCCTGGCAAGGGTCTTGCGAATCCGGGGACAGGCTGGGGTCGCTACCAGTTGTGGCTGCAAGAAGAAGAAGCAGATATATTTACATACAAAGGGGATAGAGATTGATAGAAACAGTCATCTTTCTAGTCCGGTATGATCTACAGAGGGATATGTAGGAAATTGGGCAAAATCTCCTGATTGTTTTTTTAGATAATTTGCAATTTATTTATCTATTTAAGTATATATTAATAGAATATATATAGCTATTAAGGAGTGTTTCAATATCTAAGGGGCTGCCACAAATAAGAGGGAATCAAGCTATTCTCCAAAGCACCTGAAGGCAGGACAGGAAGCAACGGATGGGAACGAATCAAGGAGAGAAATAATCTGGAATTAAGGAGAAATTTCCTGACAGTTAGAACAATTAACCAATGGAATGGTTTGCCTCTAGAAATTATGGATGCTCCAACACTGGAAATTTTTAAGAAGAGATTGGGCAACCAGGAGATAGTGAATCACCTAATCAGGAAAGCTAATTGGGTGACTTAGGCTAATCACCAGGAGTTGGTGAGTTCTAGTCCTGCCTTAGGCATGAAAGCTGACTGGGTGACTTTGGACCAGTCTCTCTCTCTCTCTCTCTCTCTCTCTCTCTCTCTCTCTCTCTCTCTCTCTCTCTCTCTCTCTCTCTCTCTCTCTCTCTCTCGGCCCATCCCAACTCACAAGGTTGTTGTGAGGAAACTAGGAGAACGAAAAAGTATTTGCTATGTTCGCCACCTTGAGTTATTTATAAAATAATAAATGCGGAAAAAATAAATACTAAATAAAATTTAAAAATGAATAAAATGCGATCTCTGCCAGATCATGCCTTAAGATTTTATATGAAGAATCTCTTCCGTTCCTAAACTTCATCTTTGTTTGTCACTCCATTTTTTTAAACCGAAGAGAAGATGTGTTAACAATTTCTCACGTGGGAGTGAAAATTGTTCCCAAGTCGCCCTCCTTTTTCTTCCTCTCCCTCCCCACAAGCCTTCACACTTTACACGTGTACACACTGACATGTGGGTGTGAAACTGACCCAGGCACCTCCGTGTTAAGTCTGCCTGGCCAAATATCGGCTTGTCCTGTGAATTTCTTCACCACCATCCCCCCCATCAATTCATAGCTTCCCCCCACACACCTTCCCAAACACTTTCCAGCAAAATCCACATGGCCCGTCTGCCTTCTCTGATCTCCCTGGCATTTAAAAATGGAAATCCAATTTTCTGTCCCCCCCCCCAGCGCCCGCTTTTCCAAAAGGAAGGGACCCATAGACACCTCATGGCTTGCTCCACCCCATAGTTTACAGCCAAGTGTGGATAGGGAGTTACACGTCTCCTCAACCCCTGTGATCTGCTTTGTCTGGTGTGACTTTACTAACACCCCACCAGCAAAGTAAAAGAAACAAACAAGAGGGCTGAAACCAGACTCGGCAAGCAACACCACCCCATCACTTCAAATATTTGCCTGACATTCAGTCAATCTTTCCGGGCCACTGAAGCTTTGATTCTCATCCGCAAGAAAGCGTATAGCCTTTTCTCCAATCCAGACCCCCCCCCTCCATTCCTAAATAACAAAATAGTTTTCTTTCCTAACTGTGATGCATAGAAGGAAGCCAGAGAAAGGGGCAACACAAAGAGAAAAGAAGAGAAAGGAGGGATGGAGGAAAATAACAACATAAACGACAAGAAGGAAAGCGTGCTGCTTTGCAGAGGACTGAGAAATGACTTGGGGATGAAGGTAATGAAGAAAAGCAAAGCCGAGAAGACAAAATGAAAAAAAAATTGCTCAAGTGTCTCTCTCTCTCCAATTCAATTACATTTTCTTCCAAATTAATGCCTATAGAATTACACATGGAAAGAGTGGTCTAACTTTTAAGGTCTGAGCTCTTTTCTCAGCATTGTCCAGCTCTAAGTTCTGCATTATATTATTATTATTATCAATCATCGCACAGTCAGCCAGATGTTCAGACTGGATTTGGCATTTTGTCTACCTATCGAGTCCTTACCCAGGACCTGGGATAGGCAGATGTTGATGTTTGATGGTATTACAGATATCGTCGCAGGATGGAAGCAGTTCCTAATAAGGCCGCCTTTTGCAATTGACTAATACCGAATTTGTCAATGCCAATTGTGTTCAAGTGGTGCTCCAGTTGTTTTGGGATTGCACCCAAGGAGCCTATGACTATTGGTACTACCCTTGCTTGCTTTTTCCACAGTCTTTCTATTTCTATTTGTAGGTCTTTGTATTTTGTTATTTTCTCCAGTTCTTTCTCTTCTATTCTGCTATCTCCAGGCACTGCCACGTCCACTATCCAGACTTTTTTGTCTTTCTTATCGACAATTGTTTAGTCTGGGGTGTTATGTTGCAGGTGCTTGTCTGTTTGAATTCTGAAGTCCCAGAGCAGTTTAATTTTATCATTTTCTATGACTTTCTCTATTTTATGATCCCACCAGTTTTTGCTTACAGGCAAATGGTATTTTTTGCAGATCTTCCAATGCACCATTGTTGCTACTTTGTCATGTCGCTGCTTGTAATCAGTCTGTGCAATCTTCTTGCAACAGCTTACCAAATACATCAAGAGAGTGAAGAAGATCTTAAAATCCAAACTCAATGGAGGAAATACCATAAAGGCAATCAACACCTGGGCAATCCCAGTCATTAGATACACAGCTGGAATAGTGGACTGGACTCAAGCAGAACTAAAAGCAATGGATAGGCAGACCAGAAAAATAATGACAATGAATCATGCCCTTCATCACGCAGTGACATTGATAGACTTTATCTACCAAGGCAAATAGTGGCGTGGAATGCTCCAAGTACTCATATGGATTGAAGAAAAAAAACATGGCTTTGGAAGAATATCTGAAGAACAATGGAGATGCACTGAATTAGTATATCAGGAAGGCTTACTAACTACTGAGAGACCAAACCGGCCTACAGAAAGACCAATGAGGAACAGAATAGAGGCATGGGAAGACACAGCACTACATGGCCCCTACATTAAAACAATAGCTGGGAAGCAGATAATAATAAACTTCATGGCCTAAGAACAGGAAAATTGACGAAAGAGACCGAGGGATAATTCCTGGCTGCACAAGACCAAGCCTTAAGGACAAATGCTACAAGTCAAAATTTGACAGACAGACAGCAACAACAGTAAGTGCCGCCTAGCAAAGAAGCTGAAGAAACAGTGGACCTTATTTATTATTATTATTATTATGATGATCGATCATCGCACAGTCAGCCAGATGTTCAGACTGGATTTGGCATTTTGTCTACCTATCGAGTCCTTACCCAGGACCTGGGATAGGCAGATGTGGATGTTTGATGGTATTACAGGTATCATCGCAGGATGGAAGCATTTCCTAATAAGGCCGCCTTTTGCAATTGACTAATAGCGAATTTGTCAATGCCAATGGTGTTCAAGTGGTGCTCCAGTTGTTTTGGGATTGCACCCAAGGAGCCTATGACTATTGGTACTACCCTTGCTTGCTTTTGCCACAGTCTTTCTATTTCTATTTGTAGGTCTTTATATTTTGTGATCTTCTCCAGTTCTTTCTCTTCTATTCTGCTATCTCCAGGCACTGCCATGTCCACTATCCAGACTTTTTTGTCTTTCTTATCGACATTGTTAAGTCTGGGGTGTTATGTTGCAGGTGCTTGTCTGTTTTGATTCTGCAGTCCCATAGCAGTTTTAATTTTATCAGTTTCTAATGACTTTCTCTATTTTATGATCCCACCAGTTTTTGCTTACAGGCAAATGATATTTTTTGCAGATCTTCCAATGCACCATTGTGTGCCTACTTTGTCATGTCGCTGCTTGTAAATCAGTCTGTGTCAATCTTCTTGCAACAGCTTACCAAGTGGTCACTGTTTCCTTTCAGCTTCTTTGCATAGGCGGCACTTACTGTCTTGTTGCTGTCCTTCTCAATTTTGACTTTGTATGCATTTGTCCTTAAGGCTTGTCTTGTGCAGCCAAATTAATCCCTCGGTCTCTTTCTTCATTTTCCTGCCTTTTTTTTTCTTTTTTTTAGGCCCCCCCCCCCCATTGCCAGGTTTACTTATTATCTGCTTTCCCAGCCTATTTTGTTACATGTATTGGCCATGTAGTGCTTTGTCTTCCATGCCTCTATTCTGTTCTTCATTTGGTCTTTCTTGTAGGCCATTTGGTCTCTCCAGGAGTCAGTAAGCCTTCCTGATATACTAATTTCAGTGCATCTTCATCATTGTTCTTCAGATATTCTTCCAAAGCCATTTTTTCTTCTTCAACCATCTGATGTACTTGTAGCATTCCACGCCCACCTATTTGCCTTGGTAGATAAAGTCTATCAATGTCACTGCGTGGATGAAGGTCGTGATTCATTGTCATTATTTTTCTGGTCTGCCTATCCATTGCTTTTAGTTCTGCTTGAGTCCAGTCCACTATTCCAGCTGTGTATCTAATGACTGGAATTGCCCAGGTATTGATTGCCTTTATGGTATTTCCTCCATTGAGTTTGGACTTTAAGATCTTCTTCACTCTCTTGTTGTATTCACCTCTAATCTTTTTCTTGACTTCAGTGTGCTTGATGTTGTCAGCTTGAAGGATACCCAAGTATTTGTAGTACTCTTCCTCATCCAGACTCCTAATGTTATTTTCGTGGGGCATCTTGATTCCTTCAGTTTTCACTATTTTTCCTTGTTTGATAGTAAGTGTGGCACATTTTTCCAAGCCAAACTCCATTACAATATCTTGGCTATATATACGGACAGTGTTGAGCAGCGATTCTATTTCAGATGATGTTTTTCCATACAGCTTCAGATCATCCATGTAAAGGAGGTGGGATAGTCTAGCAGATGTTTTTGATGTTTGATAGCCATGTCTGAGTTTATCAGTATTGTTGACAGAGGAAACAGTTGCAATAAACAAATAGTAATGGTGATAATGAAATCTCTTGAAATATTCCCTCTTGATATTAACCTCTCCCAGCCTCTCACCATTGATCTGCAACTGTGTCTTCCATTGTGCCCTCGATCTTTGCACAAATTTTCTGATG